TGTTCCACATTATGTCTAAGATGTTTGATATGCAGACAGATAGTGAGGTTAAGCTTAACAGCCTAAATTGTATGAATAACAATAAGCTTGTCTTCTGGATAGTTAAAAACCTAAGTTTGCAGACCAAAATTAGATGAAAAAGAGGGCTGCAAGGAAAGCCAACATTTTGGCCTAGCCTTAGGACATATGAGAACTTGTACTGTAATGTCACGTAACTCACTAGTGTTCCAAATTTTCTGATCAAGGAGATTATGGGGCCAAAGAGGAAAGTGATCAATGATGTAGCGTGTGCCTAAGGAGAGTCACATGGAGAGAAAACATTCTCTCAGGCTTTCACAGAGAGCACATTGGCCAAGCAATGGCCGTGACTCATACACATGGATGACACTGACAAAGGTTATACAATCTGAGGTACAGAATCTCAGGATAAATCCTGAGGGAATTTTACTGACCTTATCAGACCCAAAAGCTACAATTCTTGTTGCATAGGTCCTGCTTTACCTTGGTCTTAACCATCCAGCAGAAAAGTATAAAAATGAAATATAAGAAGTAAAGCCATGCTGTTAGATTGAGCTGTAGGGGACTCAGGTCAACAATTTCTGACATTGCCAGTCAAGTGGAGGACCCAATACTGTTATGGGCTACTGGACTCTTTTAGAATATTTTGCTGAGTTTACACCCCTATAATATTCAAATAACGGAACTTAACAAAAAAAAGGGTATACAGATGAATGTCCATTTTGTATCTGTGTATTCAAAGTGATTAGGATAGATATATAGTTACATTCTCTTAATGAATAGAGTGATTTGTTCTAATGGTGTTTGTAAATAGGATATCATGTCTGCATCTTGTACAGCAATTAACCACTAGGAAGAATGTATGCAATGTGTTAATTATTGAAACTATCCTACCAATTTGATTTGAAACTATCTCATTGCTATTTGTTTATCAATAAAATTATGGGAAAAAAGTGATAAAGCAAGAGTAATGAAGAAGATGAAGGTGGTAATGGCCCTGCCATGTAGTGAAGGATAAGTGAAAAAAACATCTGTTTCTTTTCCTATTAAAACAGAATCCCTATCCAGAACTCTTTCCACAATGTTGAGAGCATGCCTTTGTGCAGGTTTTGGCACTGGCCAGCCAAACACAGGTCCTCAGGGAGTCATGGGGCTGAGTGTGGTGAGGGACCCTGCTAGCCAGCCGTGGTTTGCACTTGTGTTCTGGTTCTTCCCTGTGGTTGGAGCCTTAAGAGGATTGACTTATTTAAAGCAAGGAAGGCATACTTACCATATGCCATTCTCTGTCTTTAGTGGTTTCTTAAACTAGAGAGAGAGAGAGAGAGAGAGAGAGAGAGAGAGAGAGAGAGAGAGAGGAAAAGTTGAGAACATCTTTATAAAAAAAGTTGCACTCTAAGTTTGTGAGTTCACTCAGGTAGAAAGTTACATAGATGACATGAGTATGATTAATTTTTTGAAGAATTAACTGGGTACTATCAAACAAAGGAGTTGAGAGTGCTAGATAGATGGGATGGGCTGAGCAACATGGAAAGTGTGGTTTTGGTTTTTAAATAGTTCAGAGTGTTCCTCTGTTTCAGTTTTTGCCAGAAGGTGGATAGATAAAAGGAGCAGGAAAGGATGACAGTGTAAAACTGTGTAGCACTTTCAAGCCAGGCTAGACAGCTTTAACTTTATTCTTATGGTGCAAGAAGTGCTTAGTGTTTTATAAGAAGACTTGATTTTATCTATGTTTAAGGAAGATAATTAGTACTTACAAATAAAATGTGGAGTACCTTCACAACTTTGGAGTGAGACAGAAATGAGTCAGGACACCACAGATCAGGTAGTATACCATTCCATAGAGGTAATGCAGCCTAAAGTAGGGCAATATCTGAAAGGAAGAAGGAAAGAAGAAAGAAAGAAAGAAAGAAAGAAAGAAAGAAAGAAAGAAAGAAAGAAAGAAAGAAAGAAGAAAGAAGGAAGGAAGGAAAGAAGGAAGGAAGGAAGAATTAAAGAAATATTTTAGTGTCAATTTCAACAGCTCCAAAATGGAGAATACAAAAATAATCCTGTTGTTTTATGCTTTAAATTTTAGATGTCTTTTATAACTAAAAGTCTGTGCCCAAGTAGACATGGCAGGGTCAAGGAGAATATGGTGCTTCACCTTGGCAACATACTTAGATAGTTTCACTCTAGGATATTCAGACAGATTTATTTGAGACATTTTGCTCTTTCAAATGGAGTTACTGAGATATATAGGTAGTAACATCAGCAATTATTGAACCCATCTAGATATTAAGATCATATAGGGAAAGAAATTTGAGGAAAGAGGACATGCACTCTAGACGCGCTTATAGTGAGTAAGCAGATTGAAGAAATATGGTCCTAAAAAGTAAAAAGCCTTAGCTATTACACGATTACCATCTTGACTATACTAACTTGGCCCCTGAGGCGTCACTTCCTTTTCAGACCACATTCTTGGGTCTAATGGCTTCATTCGGACTAAGGACATACTGAGTGCCTCTAATATATTTTCTCATGATGTAATGAAACAGAAGCAAACCAGAGAGGGGTCCTATCCTGTGAAGCATGGTATTACATGTTACAAGTAAGGTCGAACATCTGTTACCTTTTCTATTATTGAATCTAATGTGTATTGCTACCGTTCAACAGAAAAATCAATGATTCCGTGATGGCCATAATTTTAGCAACTGTTTCAAGTTTTGACAATTCTACTAAACTAAAGCTGTGTTCTAAGTACATGGTGTTAGTCTTCAGAGAATGAAATGTGAAACTTTCCACGAGGCAAACTATGGACAAAACCAACCAAAATCATAGGAAATTCACTATATTCTTTACGTTGATGTGCTCCCAACTATATATATTGAAACCTAACACCTACTGCCACAATCCTAAGAGATGGGGCTTATAAGAGGTAGTTGGATGATGAGAACTTCACCCTACTGGATGGGATTAGTGCCATTGTAAAAGAGGTTAAAGGGAGCTGCCGTCCAACTCCTTCTGCCACATCAAACCAAGGGTCATATGAAGAAAGGGTCTCTCACCAAATCTGCTGGTAAACTTCCCAGGCTTTTGAGCTATGAGCAACACATTTCTATTGCTTATAAATTAATTAGTCATAGTTATTCTGTGAGAGCATCCTGAATTGATTAGGACATATACTATTTCCTTATAATCTCATTTTTACTCTCTGAAGTCACTTCAGAGGCCCGGGCCTCCCTGTGACTACCCGGAGAACCCTGTCAGTAGGAAGAGTGCGAACTCCATGGCTGCCCCAAGAATTCATGCTCCTGTCTCTAATCTCTTGTGGATGTGCTATGTGAAAATGGTAATAGATAAAAATGATAATTAGAAAATTATTCCTCCCTCAAAGCTCATTATTATAGACCAATAAAATTAATTCCTTACAAAATTCTCCAATAAAAGTTTAATAGTTATGTTAACGGCCGCTGATTATTTTGGTTAGGACCTTTTCTACATCTTCAAAATCATGTCACATTTGTTCATTCTTCCCATATTCATGGATTTCTCCATACTGTTAAAAACCAAATATCTGTCAGGTCAAATACTAAGGGGGAAAAAAAAGAAAGAAAGAAAGAAAGAAAGAAAGAAAGAAAGAAAGAAAGAAAGAAAGAAAGAAAGGAAAGAAAAAGAAAGAGAGAGAGAAAGAAAGAAAGAAAGAAAGAAAGAAAGAAAGAAAGAAAGAAAGAAAGAAAGAAAGAAAGAAAGAAAGAAAGAAAAACTAAGGACCACAGTGTTGAGTCATGGGCTCTTCATGATTTACAGTTATTAGGTAGTCTTTTGTGATGAAAAAGACTTGTAGTGGAAGTATTTCATGACAAAACCACAAATCACAAAGCTGTTATCATTTATAAACCCCTAAGTAAATTCAGCTAATCTTAATTTACTTTTAATCTGTTTGAAAGTCTCTTATGACTTAATAAAAAAGTCTAAATTAGTGAATCATCTACTTCATGAATTTAAATCCTAGTATTTAAAAATAGCCCATCATCTTATATACTTGTGAAACAATCTGGACTGGGGATATAGCTCAGCAGCACAGCACTTGCCTGGTGAGAGTGAGATTGTGAGTTTCATTCCTGGTACCAAAACACAAAACAAAAATCAATCTTTATCTGAAACAAATAAGTGATGTTGAACCAAATCAGACTTATATTACATTCTTTATTTCATTGTTTGCTAGCTTGGTCTAAAAGATAGAGTAAACATTTGTAGTCTCACAATTGAACACAGGAAAATAATCACACTGTAGAAGCATGTTGTATTTTTTATTATGATAAATAGGGAAAACTTATAAACTTCATGGCATATTAATAACATGCTGTAAATAACATCTGAAAACAGTTGTGTGGTATTTATACTTGAAAAACTATGTACATATGAATTTTGATCAAAGAAAGCCCAAAAGATGTTAACTTGAAATTATCACTGAATGTTTTTGTTTCCCGATCTCAATTTTGTACTTTTTTAGCATCTGGATTATACACTGTTTTAGAATCAGGTGAGTAAAGTCTAAGGTCTTCTTAAATTAGCAAGGAAAATTGTTCTTATTTCTAGGAAGCAGTTGGGCTTACTACCTAAATCATGCATCATGAGGCTAGAATCATAACTGCAGAGTCCCCAAAACAAAGCCTTCAGTTGCTTGTGAATTCTCATTGCCAGCAGAGTAGAATGCGTAACTACTGCTGATTCATGAAGGGGAACTATAGAAGTGAGAGTGGGTAGAAAACCAACAAAATTAGAAAAGGGAAAGAAAGTCCAGTAGAGATGCTAAGTGTAGAAATCATGACTATGAACCAGATGTCTAAGAAGGGTCACCAGTATCATTTGCTGAACAATGTTAGGAAGAAAAAAACTAAAAATGTTTGAAAAGCCCATGTGATTGTAATTAAACAAAAGTATTCACTCCTGGTATCTCTTTAATGCTGCAGGGACCATGGCAACAGTAACCAACTGGATTTTCAAGGACAAGAAACCTTGCCACTAAATAAGATAATGTTATTCTTTCTGATGACAAATAGGAACGGGCGATCAGCTTTAAACACTATGGACTCAGGAAGCTGCTTTTCTACAATGTTATTTTCAGTGGCTGCAGTTGCTTCAGTACCTTCCTCAGAGACCTCAATATATGATTTGTGCATTAGTTTTGATACATAGAGACGACCTCCAGAAGCTATGCCAGAGAGATCAGCTTTGGACTCATCAAAAATATCTTTCAGCCCTAGGGCTTCCAAGTGGTGTTTCATCTCATATTTCTTCTCTATCTTGAACTTAGGAAGAAACACCTCCACATACTGAGATTTCATTTTTCTTGGACTGGTCCAGTTCATGAGATTTCTAAAGCTCAGAGCCTTTTCAACCTGTAGGAATATTTAAAAGTATTTTAGAATCACATGGCAAAGAAAAAAAAAAAAAACCTACAAAAAGACTTTTGCAGTTAAGTACATGCCTAGGTCCTGAGGCAGTTTTGAAAGAGAAAATGATTTAAATAAACAGTTCAAGAGCTTTTTACTAACCACATGTTTAATTTGCTTTGCTGTGATAAGGTGTGGCTTGTTTGTTCTGCAGGATATGTCTGTTCCCTGCCCACATAGGAACAAGTACAGCTGAAGTGGAACAATGAGTAGGTGAAAGATGTGGAAATCAAAAAATCATCAGTGGAAGGAAAAAAATAGCTCAGCAGTTGTTCAAGTCAGTGTTTTCTGACCATTGTTATGGTCTGAAGACACAGGAAATACATGTCACAGCTTACACAATAAGCTGATGAAGGTCAGGTGGGTGGAGGCAAAGCTCCGGAGTCCCCGTCCTGGGAGTTTAGGAGATCAATGTCTTTCAACATAATCACACACTTTGGAGCGCTTGGATCCAAGTTCGTTTTCCAACTCAAAAGATGGCACAGCTGAAGCTCGGGAGGTAGGGAGGTAAGCCCAGGGTGCAGAGCAAGCAACCGCAGTGATGCAGGGAGGTGCCCACCTCTCTCCAACACTATGGCCACCCGAGAAGATTCACAAACTGAACCTGCCAACTTTGGAATATTGAGAACTGATCATAGATTCTTCTAGATTTAGAATGGAAAGCTTTCCATGATCAGTGTTTCCAAATCTTATATACAGACGTTTCTTTGAAACCCTAAAATTATTGCAACTCTCTTTTAGCTTTTATACATCTCAGCTATATATTAAATTTTACTTGCTTTTCTATTGAGTCCAAATTTATGCAAAAAATCTGCTTAAATTTTGTGTGTGTAAATTTTCCAGTTTGTGGATAACTTATGAAAACTTGTTACTGTGAGTTGGATTTTTTGCATTCACCCCACTACCTTGCCAACCTTCTCATAATTATTTGGTAACTGAAGAATATGTATATATTCAAGCTTAGACAGTATATAAATTTTGCTAATATAATTTGTATATTATTTGGTAAGTTCATTATAATAAAGAAGATTCAGACAATAAGTGCAAAAATAAATCTATCTTGTGAGCTATCTACTGTTTATTTTTCTTTGGACTACTTTATTATTATAAATTACTTAAAATAAATGATACTAAAGTCTTTTAAGGTTATAAAGTGATTAAATACAAGTTAAATATGAGTAGCAATATTTTATGGCCACACATTAGATTTAACAATATCAGCTATATGATAATTTTCACATTGTTCTTCCTATTTATTTATGTATTTATTTATTGCAGTACTGGGGATTGAACTCAGGACCCTGAGCTTGCCAGGCAAGTGCTTATTCTACTGAGCTATCTCCCAGCCCTGTTCTTCCTTTTTAAAAGGACTATTAAGATGAAAATCTAATGAGAGAAAGTCAATACATAGATACAGTGCTTTCCTATATAGAACTAAATTTCTGAAGTTTCACAAAAAAGTCAATTTTTTGTAAAAAAGTGAACCAGGCATCGTGACACATGCCTTCAATCCCAGCACTCTGGAAATTGAGACAGGAGGATCATTGACAGTTCGAGACTGGCCTGGGGGTTCAAAAGTGAGCACAAGGCCAGCCCGAAGTGCATAGCGAGACTGTCTCAAAAAAAGGTCAAAGAGGAAAGTGATCGATGACATAGAGTGGGCCTAAGGAGAGTCACATGGGGAGAAGACACTCTCTCAGGCTTTCACAGAGAGCACATTGGCCAAGCAATGGCCGTGACTCATCCACATGGCTGCACTGATAAAGGTTCTACAATCTGAGGTACAGGATCTCAGGACAAATCCTGAGGGCATTTCACTGACCTTCTCAGACCAAAAAGCTACAACTCTTGTTGCATAGGTCCTGCTTTACCTTGGTCTTAACCATCCAGTAGAAAAGTATGAAGACGAAATATAAGAAATAAAGCCATGCTGTTAAGTTAAGCTGTGGGGGACTCAGGTCAATAATTTCTGACATTGCCAGTTAAACAGAAGACCCTATGCTATTATGGGCTACTGGACTCAGAATATTTTGCTGAGTTTACACACCTATAATATTCAATAACGGAACTTAGGAAAAATGGGGTATACCGATGAATGTCCATTTTGTATCTGTGTATTCAAAGTGGTTGGGATAGATATATAGTTGCATTCTCTTAATGAATAGAATGATTTGTTCTAATGGTGTTTGTAAATAGGATCACAAGTCCGCATCTTGTACAGCAATTAACCACTAAGAAGAATATATGCAGTGTATTATTTGTTGAAACTGTACTTCCGATTGTATTTGAAACTGTCTCATTGCTATCTGTTTATCAATAAAACTGTAGGAAAAAAAAAGGTCAATTTTAGCATCTATAATGGCATCTGGCACATTAGTAGGTACTTCTGATATATTTGTCCAACAAATGAATAAGTAATTAAGTAACTAATATCCTACCAATATGAAATGTTGAAATTGATGGATAAACATACAATCAAAAGTGTCTTTAATGTATTCTTACTCCCCTTTATTGGAAGGCACAGTGTCTCACCTGGGACAGGTCACTCTCAGGCAGCAGGATGTACATGCTTATGCCGCCATGATACGTGAGCTGCAGCACCTGCATGGAGGGATCTTGAATCATGCTCAGGTTGAATCTCCGTTCCTGATGCATCATGGGAACTACTTGCTTCGAGCACTGCAAGTCAAGTCATGGAGGATTATTTATAGTTGCCTTTCTTTTCATATTTTGGGAGAGTACACATAAAATATTTTGTTGGTCAGTTGATACTTATTTGGTCAGTTGATAGATTTTTTTTCTGACATGCTGCCAATGCTGGTTAGATTAGTGAACATCTTAGTGCTAAAAGCACAGATTTTGAGATTACCATCTGAGTTTAAAAATTCTAAACCATGTGACTTAAGGGTAAGTCGCTTCACCTCTGTCTCCCTCTGTGTTCCCCACTATATGAAGTAGATGACAGTAGTCCCTACTGCATAGGTTTGCAAGGATCATGTGAGTTACTGCTTAACAGTAGCAAAATTGTCTCATACTTAGTGTTTTAGCTGAAATGTCTATGCAGCAAATAATCAATATTAAACAACACTAAAATGAAAAGTGGATGCCATAGATTTTTCTCTTACTGAAATTAAAAGAAACTAATATGATCAAACACAACTTAATGCAGTCTGGAATAATTAAAAATTTCTACAAGATATTTGATCATATTCCTTCAATTAACATGAAAAAACTCAATAGCTTTTTCTCTTTAGCAGATAGCATACGTTGATTTAAAAACACCACAGAGATGCAATAAACCTTTTCCTAATTATATTAGGATACACTAAGTAGCCAATATTTCTGCGATATCTCCTTTTAGGTCGAAAGTTTTTACATGAGAGAGGAGATAATTCTCTGTCCTGTCCTTGAAGTAAATATTCTTCTCTCTCCGGAAAAGTCACCCTGTTTTGACTTTAAGACTAGTTCTCCGGAAGAAAATGCATAGAACAAGGAAACAAAGGAGCACACCAGCCCAGTGAGACAGGTTAGGTGAGGGAAGCCTGGCAGGAGGGGCTGGGAGGTCCTGACCACGGGCTTCCTGTCCATGTGAGGCAGAGGCAGAATCCCACGCTATAGAGGTGAATCTATCATGTTTAATGTGATGGAAACAACACTAATGTCACTGATTGAGCCTCAGACTCCGCATCTTCACTGTAAATTATGTGTTACAATGGTATTACACAGAATGTGTGACTCCGCTGGAAGAGTTCAAAACGAGTTTACAATAAGGTATTTCGTGGTAAAATAAAAACCTCATTAGGAGAAAAAAAGAAAAAAACAAACAAATGAAACAAAGCCTCAATCCAGGAGCCAGGAGTAGTTTTTGCTTTTGTCTTGATTGTTGGCAATGAGGCAACAAATGCAGTTTATCGTGGGCAAAGTTGAAGGAAGATGTAACAAATTAAATCTTACGTCAAAACTCTGTCGGCCTTAGTCACTGAAATTCTAATACTCCCCAGTATGCTGCATATTATTCTATACCTACCTGGTATGCTTCTCATAGATGAAACCTCTGTAGGGCAGAGCGGTATTTTTATTAGGATTGATTTTATAATTTTTCATACATGATTTTCAAAATATCACCATGTATTTTTTTCTTTTTTAACAGAGACACCTACATCATGATTGTGCTCCCCCAGAACCTGACCTAGGATCTGCCAGGGGTGGACACTTAGATCAGCTGATCTACAGCCCATGCAGCCACCAGGGACAGACGAATGCAGCAAGCCTGGTGCGCTTCCTAGTCCGGTCCCGGCTTTGTGGGGTTGCTTTTTGTCCTCCCCAACAGCTCGGAAACCTGCAGGAGAGGCTGCCTGTGTCATCTTCTGGGTTATTTGTTGATCTCTAATTCCCATCAGTACTCAGAATTTTGGGTTCTAAAACCCCTGGGATGGGACAGCGTAGACAGAACATTTTAACAGTTGAAAAATAAAAACCAAACTTCAAAGTTAAATCTGAATTTCTGCTTCAACATAAAAGGCTGAGGAACAGGAATTTTACACTTTGCCTAACTGAATCACTGCTTTGCATATGAAGAAGAGGAGGTCTACCCTGGTTAACTGTCTCACAGGACTGGACTCCTGTGAGGCTGGACAGGAATGCCAACACGATATGGCTGATGTTTCTTCTATATTAAGCCTTACTACAAATTGGTATAAAAGAAGAAAAAACACAAGAATATATATTTTACAAAAGTTGATAATAAGATGTTTCATATTTTAAAATTTCAGAAATAAAATATATTTGGAATTGCACTGCTTTCCTAAGTGTAGCTTTCCCCCATAGAAAAAGAAACACATTCTTACTTTGTATAAGGAAAATCATTGATAGCAAGCGATTTTAAATGTAGACCCCACAGTTAAAACTACAAAAACAACAGATGTTACAGCTTAAGCGAGGTGGTTTTTAAATGACTGTTTTTATTTGTGTATAATGACGGGAATGACGGGAAAGAAGGTTGGGGTTAGAGAAGGACAAAGAGACCCCTGTGCCAACAACCAGCAGTAGGTTGGATCTTTTTCCCTCTGGTCATGATCACTCAGGGCTCCTCCGTGGAGATGACAGCTGGAGGTAACAGTCCAGTCAGAGGGGAGAGGCAGCTCTGGGGCCCCTTAGTCCTACTAAACCACCTGAGAAGCTGAGCCTGAGCTCTGGGGCCTCCACCTCGGAATGCAGTCTCACTTCTAGTGGCTGCCTTGACAATCAGGGCATGGCTTAGGGGGCCTGTTAGGCTAGTCCTTCTGAAGGTGGCCTGGATTTTGACAGTAGTAACAGATGAAGCTTGTTGTTGAGCTCTTCTTGGAGCCCAGAGAATCAGACTTAGGGTCTGTTTTGATGCCACAACAAAGGCAACTGTTTTGATCTCTTTGTTTTCTCTCTCTGGCTTTCTCCCAGTCCTGATTACAGAATAATGAGGAAGTAGTTTTTAATAAAGCATCAAGTGCATTATCTAGAGTTAAAGCTGTCTTCTCTAGCTCTTTTTTAATGTCTGGAGCTGACTAAGTAATGAATTTATCTTTAAGAATAATCTGTCCCTCTATCAAATCAGGAACTAAGGAAGTATATTTTATCAGTGCCTCTATTAAACATTCTAAGAAAGCAAAGAGGTTTTCATCTTTGTCCTGATAAATAGATGAAAATTTAAAGTAACTAGAAGGCTTGGTTTTAGTTCTTCTTAGATGTTCAAGAATGAACACTTGAAAATTTTTATTTCAGTCTCCTGCCTGACTATTAAGCCAGCAGGGCTCTTGGGTAGCAACTGCTTGGGCTCCCGTGGAAACTAGGAAACTAGATGTTCTCCTGGCTATGTTTTGGTTGTTTAAAACTGACAATAAAATATTTATCCCCCAATGTAAAAAAAGATGCATTTTTAATCATGCTTCCCTTGTATATAGATCCAATTTAGAATATCTTAAATTCATTATTTAATACTTACATCAATTCTGAATATATATTAGGAAATATCGACTTATCGGCTAAACCTCTTGGGTTGTTTTTCATAACCTGCATTGGCATTGTTTAAAAATCAACTACTCATACAGTGTTGGCAGTGCAGAAGTGGATAAAGAACTGGTAAACCCACCATTTTTTTAGTTAAATACTATAATTTCCTGTAGAGAGATACTACGGAGAAAGTTCCCTAGGTAATATCAGAGATGTACGTACCTTGGGTGATTTGAAATGGTGCTTTACAGTGTCCTTCTTGAGAAAAGCTGATTTCCACTTGCCTTTGAAGTACACTGCATTCACTAGCACCATGACAGCAGATGAGCTTATGCTGCTGTCACTGAACACCTTTTTTATTTTGCCTTTTGAAAAATTCAATGAGGAAAGACACATTAGTGGTGAATGCCAATTTTAAACTACTGTTTTCAGAGCTCATTAATGGACATGACGTTTTTCTTACCAAATTAAAAAATAATAATTGTGGGGACACTAGTAACAACCTATGAATAATTAATATGTCTGGTACATTCTAAACCTTTGAAGTACAATATTTGATGAAATCCTCATAAAATCTCTAGGAGGTATGCACTGCTATTGTTTTTGCTTTCTGTTGAGGAAACCAAGACCCAGAAAGAATAAATAATTTGTGCAAAATCACACAACGGTAATGCAACAGCAATGGGATTTCAGCCAGGAAAACAATCTACAGAGTCCCCGCTCACAGGTACCAGACTGCCTTTCCTGCACTTACCACAGTAGCACTCTGAGCATATTAACTCTAATTTCTTACTTCCCTTAACATTAACAAGTTTTTGCCAGAATTTTCTACCCATTCCTGGTGGTAGAATTGCAACAATGAAAGATACACTTCATGACATTATTGGGCTGTATTCCAGCTCAACATACTTAACAACTATAAAAGCAGTTGTGGCACACTAGTACCATCTCTATGTGATCACTGTTCTGTGTGGTACAGATTAGGGACAACTGACTATGGTGGGGGTTGTCCATTTGAGATAAAGTCAGTGGGGGTTGGGAACAATGATCTTTCCTAAAGCAGAGACTTATTTATTTAAAGATATCAAAGTGACCTCAGGAATACCTTGAATCATTCATCTCTGTTACAGTAAGGTTAGAAAAGTTGGAGGCAAGACCCAAAGAATCAAGAGCCTTGAATGTCTGGTAAGGTTTTTAGATTATCCTGAAAGTGATGGTGAATTACTATTCAGATTTCAGTGCAAGTGAAGGAAAGCATGTTACAATGGATCAGATTTGTCTTTCAAATAGATAATTATGATATGTAGAGGAGAAGAACAGTAACTAGGATCTACATGTGTTGTTTAGAATATTGGAAACAATTTGAATGGCTTCCTTCAAGTATTGAATGTATATACTTAAAAAGATTATAATTATACACATATTTGAGTGAGAAAGAATTTGAATACTCAAATTAGAAAAAGATCTTAGTAATCTGAAAGCCTTAAATATTAAATGCTACATAGAATAGCATTTAGTTCATAAAGAAGTAAGAATTATATAGTTTCTACTGATTTATAAGTGCTATAATTTGAAACTTTCCATGGCTAAGGATCAAAGTAACTCAATAGTGTATAGGGATGCATGAATGAACAAAAAGGACGTTATGATATAGTATTTTCAATCCCAGTACTAACTGCACATTGTTTAATGTTTTCATTTGGAATGTATGTTTCTTGTCTCATGTTTCTGAGATGAAGTCAGATTCAATAAAAGTCCATGTAATGTTGAGGGTACAAATCATAACCAACCATTAGGTAAAGATGTAATTACTAGCTCTGAAAGGTTGACTAACAAAACAAAGGGCAGATGATTTTCTTCTTAGTTTTAAAGTTTTAAATGCCTATGTAATAACTTCGATGAATGTACTATACCAGAATATTTGGTAGAACTTTGTTTTTAATTGTGAAAGAGATGTATCAAAAAGAGTTGAACTTTTTAAGGAAGGTCTACTTCCCTTAAAATGTTTTTTTTTTTTAATAAATGAAATTTTTTTTTAAAAAGGAATAAACTGTAAATCCTTTACAAAAATTGATGGAGTGAAAATTAATTTCTTTGGCAGTGGGATGTTATAGCTGTAAGAGTCAGACCAAGACGCAGCAATGAGATGGAAATTAACCCAATTCCAACCATGGTGTGACCCTTAGAATGAAATATTGTGTTACGGGTATTGACACGAGTGCGCTGTAATCAACTATTAGTGTTTATCTCTTATTGGGGATGAGATATTGTGGTTCATTCAGGAAATTACCTCATCTTATTATTGATTTATGAAATGATCATAATGTATGTTTGTTTGATAAGGTTGTTTCACAGTCAAAAGAGAGAATGTAAAAGGCAAGGTGTCTGGGAAGTATGAAGAATCCAAAATATGAAGATTACACAAAGCCACATTGCAGCCTAATGGGAAGGACATTTCAAATACTAGCAACAGTGATGTTGGATTAGGAGGAGGTACCCTTTGTATGTACAGAGACTCTTGCATTAAGGTTGACAGTTATTAATATTTGTATTTACCTAACAAATACTGTAAAAATAGAACACTGCACTTACCATGTGTCTCATTTTCAATCCATTTATTAATTTTATATGTAGCATCTTCTATAGCATTTGTAAAATCAACTCGATCCACTTTGGCCTTGTACAATTTTTCAGCACACTCAATATAGTTCTATAAATGAAAATGCAGTTCCATAAAACTCTTATATTTATAGACTACCACCAACTTTACGTACAAGGAATGTATTTTTGAACTTGTCTATTAACTTTTGCTGCTTTATTCAATAAATATATTCAAATATGCCTCAAAAATAAGTATGAATAGCTGGAAGTACAGAGAATTGATTGAGAACTGAACTTGTAATTGAATTCATATAGCAAACACTATTTTGCCTTAACTTTATCTGAAATGGATTGGAAAGGGCTAATAGAGATTGCAGTTAAACCCACACTTTGGCTTTACCATGCTCTGTCTTCCTAAGTATCCTAGGGACCTCCTATCTAGCCCTTCTGCTAAAAATCTTTAAAGGCTACTTACTACACATAACATAAAGCCGACAAGACAAAGTTAAAGATTTTGAGCCTAACCTACCAGGGTTTACTGAATATATCCTATTTACCTCGTTTTGATCACTTTTTCCCTTGTACTGTCACTGCATCTCATTTTGTATAGTTTCTCAAATGTGCCATTTATGTGCTTTACCTTTTCTTTTTTCTTCCTTTTTAATAAAGGCATAATATCTGTATAACTTTATGGGTAGATAGTGATAAGCTAATACATATATACAATGTGTACTAAGGATCTGTATGTCTTCTAACATTAATCACAGTTGTTATGATAATACAACTTCCTTAATTTCAGGTTTACTTTCCTTTGAATCAATTAACTTTATTTGCTGGGTCTAGTATAGATTGTCACACACACATACTGTGGCAGATGAGGGCACAACTAGGGCTTTCAATTTAAAACATAAAGAACTTGAAGCTCTGTAGTGGAGAGAGCAAATGGCCCAACATTTAGGAAGTGGGCAAGATTTGGCAAGATTTAGTGTTTATGTACTCAGCAATGTTCTGGGATCCAGGAAACATCACTGGAATAAGTTTCTGGCCTCGTAAGGTTTATGTTTTAGTGGGGGGAGAACAAATTAAGTGGTAATAAATGCTACCTCATTTGTCTGAAAATAAGCTTTAGCATGATTTTCATTCAAGATGTTCTTTAATGTAAATCCTACCCTTGAAGTAAGTCTCACTTAAGGGAGTTGGCCAGATGTATGCATTTAATACATCTGCTGCAACACACAATGGATGTATTGAATTATGTATATATAGACATCAATATTTAAATATGAATTATAATTATTCCTGTATACTTGTGCTTTTAGTTAAAATGCTAATGTAAACAGATAAACTCAAGACTGACAAATGACCAACTGGGAGTCCAGAAACATTACACAAGTAATATATGACACTTGCTAAAGAACAGACATGGATGTGTCTAATATGAATTTTCATGTGTGATAGTGGATGTACTACTTTATGTATTCATGTGAAATGAACATTTTTCTGAATTTTGATGTCTGCAATTTTGTTCACTTTTCATTTGATATTTTCTGAGGTCTTTACAAGGCTGCACATTCCATAAAGCCAGCAACTTGTTTATTACTGTATTTCTAGTACTACATATAGCATGTTGCTTTCTAACAAGAGGCGCTCAAGAAATACTTATTTATAGTGCTGAAAGATAACAAAAAGAAAATGCTTGAATCTATAGGCACAGGCCAATTCTCCCTGAATAGAACTCAAATAGCCCGGGAAATAGAGTCAAGAATCAACATATAAGATTGTACAGCAAAGGAAACAATCGATAGAGTGAACAAGAGAAATTTTTGTTAGCTAGTCTTCTGATAAAGGACTAATACGTAGGAATAAATATATTAACCCTCCCAAATAAGTAACTCCATCAAAACACGGGTAAATGAACTGAGTAGAGACTTCTTTAAACAAATGTACAATACAAATATGAAAAATGTTATCCTTTAGGGAAATACAAATCAGACCAACTTTGAGATTGCATCATACTCGAGTCAAAATGGACATTGTCAAGAACACATACACACAAAATAAACATGAATGCCTTAGATATCCTCTAGATTTGTGCTGATCTAAAGGATTAAAATATTATAATACTGCATTTACAATTTTTTTATTTTATGTATTTGGTACAGGATCTCACTATGCAGCTTGGACTCATAGTGACCCTCCTGTTTTCAGCCTCCTCAGTGCTGGGATTACATCCATGCACCAACCACAGCTGGTCTCGGTCACCAGCTCAGCATGCCCAGGAAATGGGGCTGGCCAGGTATGTGGTGCCCAGGATCAAACCCTAGTCTCTGCACTTGCCTAAGTAGTTGCTAAGTCCACTGAGCTATTTCACCTGCATTTACAGTTGACAGTTGCTTTAGAATAACTAACTATACTTGGAAATACTTAAGAAGTAAAATAAGTAGCATCTCTACTTTCCAAGATGTTGATCAAATTTCACCCTCACTGTGTTTCTGCTCTTCTGTCTACACTGCTTTTTTCATATTATAAATGCCAGGAAAAAAAGACATATAGCAATGTTCAGTAACTAGTGACATCAGAGACAAATCACCTTCCAATAAGAAAAAGTTTCAGCAATCCTCAGGGAACACAGCAGTAGACATAGACATACATAGACTGAAATGAATGTAATGAATATAGGGCTGGCCAAATAGCTCAGCAGATTAAACTGCCTGCAAGCAGGTGCAGGGCCAGGGGTTCGATCCCAATCCCTGGGCCTGCAGTGCCAGCCCCACCCTCCAGACGTGCTGAGAATCCCAGCTCTTGGGAGGCTATAAACAGGCGGATCACCATGAGTTCGATCTAGTAGTGAGATCCTGAACACCCTATAGACCTTTCCCTAAAATAAAAAAAAAAAAATTGTAATGAATAAAAAGTGTAATCCTTATAAAACTTGTGTAGAAATCTTGCAGGAAGTCTCAAAAGCAAAGTGACTGAATGCTTCATAATTGCCACAGTACCAAAGGATTCAGGTGTGGTTCAGGGGCGGGGTAAAGAATTTGAGTGGGTGACAGACAGAGGGGAGTATAATGACTGGGTGGGACACAGAGCTGGCAAAGATGAGTGTAGAGATTAGTCAGTGATGTCACTGAAGCAGTGCTATATAGTTATCTGAGAAGTGGAAAATTAAAAGGGAGAAGAAACAGTCCAGGTAGACAGAGCAGTGTGTCTGGTTAAAGGCCCTGACCAGGTAAGCAGCCTCTTGTAGTCACAGCAATGACATTCCACATCATGGGTGGGTTGAGCATAGCAGTGTTGAGAATGCATCGTGTGTCTCACTTGTTTTGGGTAGTCAAGACACTATGATGTTATTCGTAGTCAGGACACTGTAGCCAACACCATATAGAGATTAAAAAATATTTGTCTGCTGACTCTTCTTTTTCCATCCCTGTTAAGCCTGAGCTCCTCCTCTGCCAATGACTGGCTTTATCTAGCTGTGTCTCCCAAAAGAGAGAGATTTATAAACAATCTCATTGAAAGGATAAAGAAATAACTGCTGAAAGAAGAGATGAAAATCAGGCTTTGAGAAAAAAAAAAAAAAAGAGGTGAAGAGAGAAAACTCACACCAGAGATACCAAACTGCCCAAGTATGAAGCCTAAAGACATCACTGCTGGATGTTTTCTGATATGGTGGCCCCACCTCCCTGACTCCCAGTTCCAGCTGCCCAATAATGCCAGTTCTGCTAGGACAAGCGTACTCATCCCCGTCTGGTTGGTCACTGAGCCTGTCGCTGTTGTCCCTCATTCAGCCATTCTCACTTCCCCAATCTCACTCTCACCCCCTTCACCTACACCTGGCCCTCTAATCTCATTACCCTATCCATAAAAGACCCAGTGCAGTAAAATGAACTCTCCTTTGGAGTAAGCCAAGAGATTTCACTCAGAACTCTGGATTTGGCCTGGCATTTCTGGGGTGATCACCAGTTGTCTAACATTTTCCTCTAGGCTGTGATTCTCCTGAGCAGTGGGTCCACATCATGACCCCCCACACATACCCACACATTCACTGCATTGGAGCTCAACATTGCTCCTAGAGTGGAAGTTTTCTGCAGTTTTGGAGTCCATCTATCCAAAACCAAATATGTGGATGCATAGGGTAAGAAGTTGGCCTTTGGAAACATGAATCACATTTTGAAGACATTGGGAAAATAATAGCAAAAAGAAGGTCACCACTTTTGGGTGGCTCAGTAGGAAGGCACAAGCTTTTGTTCACAGAATGCATTTTAAAAGGTTCAAGTCATGTGAAAATAATCTTGTAAAATAGCTATTTAACGTACCTTATTAATGTCAAATTCCTTCTCTGGAAAAAGACCATTGGCAATCCTGAGTTCATAGTCTTTGTGGGATGAGTTTATTTCAGAGAGAACTTTTTTCAGTTGAAACTGAAGTCCTGGCTGTTTTGTTTTGTTTTTAAAAAAAGATGTATAAAGTTTATTTTTGGAATACAAAGATATGCATAATGTCATTTATTCTTGATATAAGAATATACCTTTTATTCTGTCCCTAGAACACATAACTTATAAGACAATTGAAATACAATGATGCTATAAAAACAGAAAATAATGTCATATGTATATCAAATCCTTTGCCTTCCCTCATACTAATGCCTGTAACCAAATGAAAGAGTTTACTGAAATAAATAAACTTAGAATCAAATTATAAATAGAAAGCAATGAATTTGTGTGGTGAATTTTACCAAGGTAAGCTGCTAGTGAATAACAAAGGAAAGGCAGATATTTCAATTCTTTGCCATTTCACCACAATCTAGCCAATGAACAAGTGAAAAAAAAATTAATTACTAAATAAGAAACAAATTGCCAAAAATTTTATTTGAAATTTACATAATCAAGTTTGTTTTAAAAGGGTGGGGAAGTCATTTTAAAGAATATCATGCAAGTAACTCTCCTAACTTAATCATTCATTCTTTTTTTATAATGTATTTGGTTGTTACAGGGTCTCAGTATGCAGCTTGAACTCACAGTGATCCTCCTGCTTTCAGTTTCCCTAGCGCTGGGATTACAGGTGTGCACCACCATGCCCACCTGGCCACTGGCAGGATAGCTCAGCTAGTCCTGGGGCCTGGGCCAATGAGACATGAGCTGGGGTTAGAACTGTGGGCCCTGACCTTGCCTAAGCTTGCCTAATCAGGCACTTTAGTGCACTGAGCTATCTCACCAGCCGCTCATTCTCTTTTTTTTATAAAAACTCACCTCCTGGGGCTGGTGAGATGGCTCAGTGGTCTAAAGCACCTACTTAGAACAAGCTTAGCAAAGCACGGGGACTGCGGTTCAATCCCCCAGCACCACATGCCAGCCAGCCCCGCCCCCTGGTGGGCTGAGCTGGCCACACACACACACACACACACACACACACACAAATAAAATTAAAAAAAAATAAATAAAAAAAATAAAAACTCACCTCCTTTACCTGATTCCTAGAAGAGTTTCTGTGTTCTGAGGCGGTGTTAAAGTACAGCGTCTGCAAGCAGGGCACAAGGAAATTGGTGTCAGAAGCAGGAGTTACTAGGGGCAGAGTTGGCAAGAAGCCTTATACATAAGGCACTTCTTTGCCAATAAAATAGTCTAATTGTCATTCCACGTTCACCAGTGTCCTCCCAGAGCTGCCTCGTGCCCAGACGCTGAGGGAGCATCAGTGAGCTGAACGGTGAGAAACGTGTCTACTTTTATGCTTATTACATTGTTCTCCTTTCCCATATCCTGACATCTCACGGTTACCCCTGGATTTGGGGATTCTTGTTAGTTTACATAAATGCTGTGTTGACGAGAAAATAGGCTCATCCGGTTATCAAGTCGCATGTGAATGTCAAAGCCATACTGTGACTCCCTGCTAATGTGACATAGTAAAAAGTGTAAACAGTTAAACTCAGTGTCTTCAAAATGCTGCCACAGTGCTCATTACCTCAGCAAAATGGTTCACAGTGTCTGTAGGCTGTTCTGTGGTCTACGTGATGCTACAGCTTTCCTCATTTCATTTTTATAACATGAGCAGGCAGCTAGCATTTTAGCATTTGAGCCCCAAGTCAGGTCATCCGTTCATGCATTCATTAAAATTCACTTACATTTTGCACGCTAGACCACTCCCCTTTTGTTGTTTGCTTTTGGATTTTACCATTTATGGAATTATGGAACCTGTCAAAATTTGCTTCTAGTTATTACCACTAATTTTTTTTAAAATTCCACTTTATGAGACAATACTGTTCTATTTATTTAGATAGGTCTTACAATATTATATCACCACCATTCAATGCCTGAAAGGTCTTTCTAGTCTCCCCTTTCGCTGCTTCTTACTTTACAGAAATTTCAACATATAGAGGTCACTGATTTTCAAAACTAAAAATTATGTGAATAATTATTGTACTTTATCCAAAAGGTTTCTTCGAGTACAGAAATTCATATTTTCACAAAAATTTTATCTTAGTTCTCATATTTACACATTGTCTCATACAAAGCAGTTACTAAACAAGTTTAGTTCAATTTAGTTGTCAAGTTTAGTAGTCATTTGTGTTGGCTGAATTTAAAAACTGTATTTTATTTATCAGACATTTGGGTCATAAAAAGGCTAATTTAATCCAATAGAGGATATTCTCATGATTACTTGTAAATAGTAATGTTTATGAAATATTTGTTCCCCAAAGCAGACCATTTCTACTAAATCCCACCATGATTTTTGGTGCCACCACCAAGGTCATCATAATTATGTTTTGAGGTCACACTGCAAAGGCTTTCGACTAAAAAGAAGACTCTTCACACTTTGTCCCTTTTGTTTCTTTACTATAGATTATTTTTACACTGTTTTATAAAATTTAAAATGATTCAAATTTGAAGATTTTGGTAAATGTTTTGATTTTTTTTAAATCATGTATTTTCATGATGAAATGAAATTGGAAAGTCTAGTATTTTTCAGTTTCAAAGCTTCTTTATTTATGGTATTAAGTGTTTGGTTTTTTTTTTTTTTAAATCTCCTGTATTAGGGTATCCTTCAGACCACTTTTAATCTTTTCAGGTGAACTTTTTTCTTTTTTGAAATGTATTTATTTATTTGATACTGCACAATTCAGACTCCTAGTGATACTTCTGTCTCAGCCTCCCAAGTGCTGGAGTTACAGGGGCTGGGGCAGCATGAGGTACTGGGGAGCGATCCCAAGTCCTTGCACTTGTCAGGCAGGTGCTTAGACTGCTGAGCTAGCTCCCTAGCCCTTTTCTTGTTCTCAAAAAGAAAATAAAAATAGCAAAAAAATGACAAAATAACATTACAAATGATACAGAATTTCACTATATAAAATAATAGGAATTCAGCAATGGTTGCTATATTGCATATTAGTATCTTCAAATTAGTTGTTCAGATTACCAGATATAAGCATGCAAAATTGGTTCCAAAAAGTTAAAAAAAAATTAGGGAAAGAGAAAAAAGTATTAAGCATTAACTGCTCCTTTCAATAGACCAATAGAAATCAGCAGTACAATTAACCAATTTATTCTGTATATATACATATATATTTCTCTTTCCCTTCCTTCTTTTCTCCTTTCCATCATCCCAATTGTTCCTTCCCCCTATTCAGTTTCTTTCCATTTCACAGTATCTATTGTAAATTTCAGATTTTATATATTCTTTCAGGTTCTTACAGTAGGGAGACAATATATTTGCACATGCAGATCTAATTTTATTTCAACTATGAGTGATAACACACAGCTTATATTCATCTGGGAAGTATTTGAAATTTTGACCCAGAGCCTACAGCTATCATGAGCCAGATACCTTTGGACAATGCTTGCTCTTCAACCCCTAAGAACATTAGCATTTGCTATGTGAAAAATCTTCCTTCACTTTTCAATCTACAGATCTCATAATTAGGCACTGTGAGAGCAAAATACTAAAAGGCATAAGCCATTTAAGTCCACAAGAAAATTTAGATATTATTGTAAAGACAATATAAAGAAAATCTAAGATCTTTTCATTCTAAACCTTCACTATTTATAAGAATCTTGTTTCTTTCCAATATTTCTCCTAAATAAGATAATATTCACCCCTGACCACCCAAATCAAAAGGAAGAGCATCACTAGCAACTATTACTGTCAGCCATCAAGACACAGGAAAAGGCAGGTCACTTCAGAGGAGAGAAGTAAATGCACTAAGCCCATTGTCTTTTTCATACAATAAGAGTTTTTCTGATCCTCTCAGAATGGAAAAGTAGGGAGGTCTACAGTTAACCTGGACCCTATAGACATTCCAAGAAGTAAGATATTTTGAGCAAAGCTGAGACACTAATGTAAGGAGAACCTGATATTAACTTAAATGTTAATTAAGAGATTTTAAGTACTTTTTGACTGATGCTACATTAGTGTATTTTGAAGTTCATATAATTTTGAATTCACTGCCTTAGCAAATGACAATTATATCACAAATTTGAGATTCACAGGGATAAGAGAAGCTTCCTGTCTCTTCTAGGCAAAACAAAATATCCTAAAAGGTGGTGCTAAGAGACTAAGGCAAACCTGGGTTGAACAGATAGAGGGCAGCGTAGGCTACATAGACGTTCTCAAGAAGACCAAAACAAGTTTTTAGAAATATTTGCAACGTGACAATGAAAGAATGAATGAATTTAAAATTTATTGGGTATAGAAATTATCCATTTGTAATAATATTTTTATAGAAAATAGTTGAAGAATTTCCCTACAAGTACCAGACTTTTTAATTTGGCAACTGAGGGAAGCTAAAAATATTTACCTTGGAATTACTGTTACAAAGCTCCCAAAGAACAATGCATTTTGCCTTTTAATAGAAAAGCAATGAGTGTCTCCCTTAGGAAATGTGAAAAAAAAAAAGCAAAGCTATGCTCCTTCTAGTATCCACAGCAATAGATTTTAGAGCTGGAAAATCCAGCATTAGTATGATGAGTTAGTAAAGAGAGAGTGAGAGAGGGAAAGAGGGACATAGAGAAAGAGAGAGAGAGAGAGAGAGAGAGAGAGAGAGAGAGAGAGAGAGACTGAGAGAGACAGAGAGAGACAGAGAGACAGAGAGAGACTGAGAAGAAATAATAAATAATGTGCCAGCCGTATTTACATATAGGAATGTTCAGTAGCCAGAATAATAACAATGGACAATAGAAATAATAACCAACAGAAACAATTTCTCAAATCACCTATGAAAAGAGAAGGCTCTGCAATGAGGATGAGACTCTGAGGTCTCAAACACAAGACAATTTGCATATGATTCTATTGAAGCAGGAGGAGAACTACTTCTTGGGCAATTTTTTAATCACCCAGGCAATTATTTTCAACTATCCCTAAAAGATGCACCTAGAGTTGTGAGGAGAGGCCTGAAAAAGCTCCTTCCAGCACAGAAAGTCTCTTTCATGATTCTTGTTCAACAAATATTGTTAATCTTTAAACTAAATCAATTCAGAAACATCTATTAGGAGAGAGGCCTGGGCTGAGTCAAGGAGGGGCATCACAGACCCTGACGTGCCCTTCTCCCCTGTGCTGCCTCATAGCGAATTCAGCAGACCACAGAGAGAGGGAAGCAGGGGCCAGAGGCCCAGCATACAGCCTTCAGGAACCAGACATTCTAGCAGGACTCCACACTTTCCTATATGTGGTATCAGATGTTTCACTTTAAGACCACACTGGGGCAGCATTAATGGGGTGACAATACCTATATCTGTTCATGCTGAGCAAAAGGGACCTGGTGAACAAAACAGAAGTTTTTAAAAAAGGTTGTTGAGGTATGAGTATGTAAATTAGCCTGATTTAATCTTTCTACACTTTAGGTGAAAATATCATATATAAATTACAGATATTTGTCAACTATAATGTTATTTCAAAAATGGTCTTTAAAAATTTAAAAATTAGGGGTTGGGGAGATAGCTCAGAAGTCTAAGGGCCTGCCTGGCAAGCTTAACGACCTGAGTTTGATCCTCTGTTCCACATGCTGAGCCATCAGTCAGCCCCAAATCAAAACATGGTGGTTCACGCCTGTAATCCCATCACTGGAGAAGCTGAGACAGGAGGATCGCTATGAATCCAAGCTGTGTATTAAGACTGCTTATCGAATAAATAAATAATAATTAAAAAAACAAAAGTAAGGTGCTGGTTAAATAAAGCAAGGAGTCAAGGCTTTGTTGTTGATGATTGTGTTTAGACTTGATTTTTAGCATAGATAGCAGAAAATTAGAGTGCAGCTGCCCTATTGACTTGATTAAAATACAGATTGCTCATTGGCAAATGTACCATAAGGTGGAAATGTTAATTCAGTGGCTATAAAATGAAAAGAGTTCAGTAATTTTGATTTACATATCCTCTGGGAGCACATTAGTAAGTGCTCAATGGTTAAATTTCTGCAAGTATTAAAAAGACTAAAATTTAAAAATGGAAAGTTGGATTAGTCAAGTAGGTGGCAGGAATAGGCTTAACTAAAAGTGAAAAGTAATTATTAAATATCTAGGAAGTAATAAAAAATGTAGCTCCATTGAGGCTTGAGATATATAATTTAAGAACCTGCACTTATTTTAAATTCAGCAGGTTTAGAATTTTCCTTTGCCAGTGTGGGACTCGGAACACCTTTTGCTAACAATTGCTGCTGTGTCCAAGTATTGTTTTTTTATGCATTTTGTTCAAGTTTTTTTGAGGATCTTATGTGTATGAGATCTGAAATCCAAAATAGTTCCTCAATGAGCAAGTGATGAAATGTGCTGTACCTAGGAATAAGGCATGGAACTTTTGAGGCAAAATTAACACTAGTACCCCCCAACACACACACACACACACACACACACACACACACACACACACACATCCATCCAGCTTAAATGAACAGTAGCCAGAGATAGTCATATATTCATTTCACATTTATTCCTTCAGTCAATTGTAGGAAAGCTCTAAAAATCACCTAGGCAAAAGTGGACTAGTTGAATTGTCTCTGTAACTCTTGGCATCCTGATTATATTTTTTGAAATAATGCAGGTCTGCATGAAGGAGTCAAGTATATATTTTCAATGCCTTAAAAATATGGTAGTTGTAGGGCCAGCAAGATAGCTTAGCAGGCTAAGTGCTTGCTTAGGCAAGTGTAGGGAATAGGGTTCAATCCCTGGTACCACATGGAGTGCAGGCCCTGTCCCCAGGTGTGCTGAGCCAGCCACTGTGACCATGGCACATACCTGTAATCCCAGCACTGGGGAGGCTGAAGACAGGAGAATCACTATGAGTCCAAGCTGCATAGTGAGTCCCTGTACCAAATTGAAAATATTTCTTCTGATTGAAAATATACATTCATGAATAGAATACACCAAGGTACTTTCTGCCTTTAAATCATCCTGTCTCAGTTTTATGATCAATTTCACTTTGCAACTCCTGTGGAGTGGGCAACCTATCATTAGGACAGGAAGGTTCAACAAGATCTTTCCCCCTTATCCCCTTATGTTGAATCATTTCTTTTTGTGTCTACATAAGGAAGGGGAAAAAAGAAAAAAATCATTATAAGTTGAACTATGTCATTGTGATTGTATACTTTTGACATCTTCATTAGCAAATACATGAAAAGGAAAAGTTGCAAATGGAAGTCACTACTGTCTGTCACCTCAGTTTAAAAAGAGGAAGAGAAAAGGCCAGTCTGTATCTGCTGACCTTGACTATGGTAGTTCCACTATACCTTTCTTTCCTAACATAAGAGGTCAGAAGTTGGAGAGTCCAGTTCTCCAATCTTTAGAAAAGCTCAGTAAACATTTAACCAACTGAAGACTGAAAACACAATGTGTGCTGTAGCTGATTGCTATATAACATTGTTTTACCTGTGATAATTGTTTGCAAATTATAGAACACAATCTGACCTAAGATATGTATTAGCATGAATAAGGAACCTAGTGATTAATGTTAAGCTGAAAAAGGAAAAAGGAAATCACAACTTTGGCCAAAATTTATCAGAAATCTTTGTAAACTCTCTATAGGACTTTTTTAAAGGAGACCATGGATCGTCTGTTCCTCTCTAGGTTCCTTCTTTGCAGTCATCCCAAGTCATCCCAAGTCATAAAACTGTTACTTCTTCTTACAGACTGATAGAATAAAAATGTACACTGAGTATAATGACTATTATTAAATGTTTGATTTAGAAATTTTCAAATTTTTCAACTTTTAAATAATATTGTTATCAGAACACATGATTTCAGCTAAATATAAATAAACATATATTTCAATAAAAATTTTATGTAAGAGCAAAGAGAGGAACAAATATATCCAAAGGAGGGGGAAAATTAAGTGCTTACAATTTTATATTCGAATGAAATGACAAAGAAATATTGTTAGAGATAAATAAAAACAATGATGAACAAAAAATTTAAATATTAAAACAGGAACATTAAGCCTTCTAGGGGAAATGTGGGTAGAAAACTTAACATACTGTAAGTAGAGAGTTCATGAACAAAAACCAAACTGCACAGGAAATACTTTAAAGAATCAACAGCAGGGATACCATCGTTTTAAAAAGTTTGTGTACCTCAAATCGAATTTCAAAGAGAGAAAAAAGAAAATGCACAAACTGGGAAAACTTATAGCTGATTATCCCTCCAACGAAGGCCTTCTATCTAGAACACATAAAGAATTTAAAAAATCAGGCCCCCCAATTCAAAAATCGGTAACTGGGATGAATATATACTTCTCAGAGGAAGAAATACAAATGGCAAATAAATATATGAAAAAATGTTCAACAGCATTGGTCATTCAAGAAATACAAACTAGAACAACACTGAAATTCCATCTCACCCCAGAAAGAATGGCTAACATCAAGAAGTCAAGCAATAATAAATTTTGGAGACACTGTGGAAAAAAAAGAACACTTCTACACTGTTGATGGGAGTGCAGATCAGTACAACTACTATGGAGATCAGTGAGGAGATTACTCCAAAAGCTAGAATTGGAGATCCCATTCAAGCCAGCTATTCCCCTCCTGAGCATTTTTCCATAACAACTGAAAACCTCACATCACAGTGATAGATGTGCACCCATGTTTATAGCAGCTCAATTTGTCATAGCTAAATCCTGGAAACAACCCAGAGGCCCATCAACTGAAGAATGGATAAAAAAGATGTGGTACTGTTACACAATGGAGTATTATTCAGCTATAAAACAGGATAAATTTGAATATTTTGTCAGTAAATGGATGCAACTAGAAAACATACACTTAAGTGAAATAAATCAGACCCACACATGCAAATATCATATTGTCTCTTTAGTGTGAAAACCTGAAGGAGAAAAAATGAAATCTGAAAGGCACAATAGATACTGGGAAAAGGAATGAACATATTCAAGAACAAAAGTTACTGAGTTGAGGAGAAGAATGGGAGAGGGAGTCTGTGAAAGAGATTTATCTATGTATGTAAACAGGATGGTTTGGACAACTGTACTGTGCATATCTGCTGGTCTATATAAAGCAGCAGTTAATGTTCTGATTTGTTCCATTTTCTTTCTTCAATTGTTTGTACTTTTTCTCTTCTTAATTTCTTATACTTTTTTCTCTCTTCTTCTAACGTTGCATGCATATATTTGGTAATATGAGTAACTGAAAGACAATACTATATTACAACAAATACTGAGAAATTCATATTACTTTGTTAAGTGATATTCTTTACTACTTATAGATTTTTTCTGTTTTAATTCTAATTTGTACTCTCTTTTTTAAGTGTATAAATACACTCTTTGGGGCCTTTCACTATTTCAGTAGCAAGCAGCCTTCATGGTACCTTAATTCCACTGAATCTCAAAGTGTGATTTAATCCAGGAAGTGAGCAAAGGGTTCAGAGCCCACCCCTTAGGTAAGCTAAGAAAAACAAAGTCAGAGCATTAGTCAGAAGGCAAAGGTATTTTGGGACTTTTGGGGAAGGATTAAAGGATTTCTTTTTTTTTTTTTTTAATTTAAAATTTGAGTATCAGAAAGAAAAGAGGAAAAAAAGAGACACTTGGCAGGAAACCATGAACTGCACTAAGCTTGGGTTTATCTAAAATATAAATATGTGTTCCATGATGTCTAGGGTCAGACATCATAAATAGTTCTCAAACTTTAGTGTGTAGCCAGAGAGTTTTCTAAAACCCATATGGCTAACGTCACACATAGTTTCTGATTTTTGAGGCCTGGGGTGGGACCTAATATTTCCATTTCTAACATGCTCTCCAGGTACCCTCCTCGATTAGGAAAAACACTTCAAAAAGCAGGATACTAAGGGAAAAAAGTAAGAGCGGAGGTCCTAGGAATATTCTTGCTGCTTCATGACTCAAAATCAAAGGGTATGGGAAGTAGCTGAGAGGAACAGCCCTTGCCTAGCATCTGTGAGGTCTTGCATTCCATCCCGGCACTGCAAGCAAAAAAAACAAACAAGTGATTCAAGCTGTGTGCTTCCATTCTGGAGGGGGTGGGATTTACGGAGACATAGAAAGATGTTACATCCTGTGCCCTCTGAGTGCCCTCCATCTACACAGGGATCATTGCTCCGACATTTTCACTTGCCTGATGATTTGCTGTAAAAGCCAAAACCAACCTTATCAATTTGATGTGCACAGTCACCTCGAGCACCCAAGCGGACGAGGCTCAGAGCAGTGAAGATGCTCAAAAAGGACAAGAACACATTTTCATTCCCTTGACTGTTGTTATCCATCTCTCTGAGCAGGTTGAAGCCAAATTCTGCATTTGCTGCAGCAAGGGAGGCCATTGTGAAACCGAGTGCAGCCTAGGAGACAACGGGAAATCAAATCAGTTCTGAGCACATTTCCTATGTCTAATTCAACTTCAGTACACAATTCCTTTTGAGACAGGGTCTCACTGCGCAGCTCAGGTGGGCCTTGAGCTCGCTTTGTGGCCCAGACTGGTCTTACACTTTCCTATCTCAGCCTCCTGAGTGCTGCAATTACAGGCATATGCTACCAAGCCCAGCACTCTATATGCATTCTTACAAATTTAAATTTTCATTTCTTAGGTCTTGAATGCAATTTTAAATAATTTAAAACAGAAAAAAATGTTTCTTCGATTAGGTATATGCATTACTATACAACTATTTCTTCTGGGAAAACTGCTCTGACACAGTTGTCTCACACTGATGTTCTTTGACACAAAATTTGCTCTTTCACCTATCCTCATACAGGGTGCTTTTAATATATGGGACATTTCTCTGCTTAGTGGCCTTTTAGAGGCTTTTTCTCAAATCACAAATAGATACATTCATGGGTTTTCTATTCTCTGATCAACCCAGATTTCTAAACTGATGCAGAGCCAGAACACTGCATGCAGTGAGAATTATGGCACTAGTCAGTCTATTCAAAGGTGTTACACATCCTTTGCTTTCTAAAGCTTCTCTAATTTAACAAAATTTAGAGGCTTAGCATTTTACTGCCTGTTTTTGTCCAATACAGACTCCATATGCATTCTTTTCTTCCTTTTGTACACCAAAAGAGGTTTATTTTTATCTTCAATTTTTTCACCTCTTTTGTTTTTGAGACAGGGTCTCACTCCATAGTTAGATGGGTCTTCAGCTCATTATGTAGTCTAGGCTGGCCTCATGCTTGTAGCAGTTCACCAGCGTCAGCCTCCCAGTGCTGAGACTGCAGGCGTGTACCCCAAGCCCAGCTCCCAATTTTTATTTTTTGCCAGTACGTGTTTGTAGTATTCTATGATCACATTCCTCGTGGGGAGTGGTGCATGTATATAACACATCTTTGTTCTTAGAACCATCACTTATTTTAAAATTTTAAAGAGTATAGTAATGTCCAATACAATGTATCCTTAGCTCCATATGTGTATTTATTTTTCTAAGATCATTTTCTGAAATTTTAAAATGGAAAGAATTTGTATACTATGAACACACTTCAGATTTTCTAATATAATTGTCTATTGCTTACTAGAAAATGTAGGATGCAGAACAAGTCTAAATTTAATGAAGAAAATAAAGTTGTCTTTGAATTTTTCTGAAATATAGAGGGGTGCTGCCACCATGGAATTCTTCAGAGATCTGAGTTGCTCTTTGTTTGCAGACTTTGTTCACAATGTGAACCCAATAAAAGTAGGATTTAATTTTATTTGTTTATTTTATATTTCTATTAAGTTTTTATTATATACCTGAAAAAAACCAAGTAAGATTGCCTCAGCCTAAATGAACTTGCATGAATATTCTAAATTATTCTCTTTGAACATTTTGTGGCATTATGTATACATCTCATGTTGTGACAAGTCCCAGGAGTCATAAACCCTGCCAGTCATATTTACAGTCCAAAGATTACTGCTTATAATTTTATGATCTGTGTTGTCTTTAATTTTTCTGAGTTGGTAAGATTCAAGCCATTCAGTGAGATGAACTTTTCACAGCATCTAGCATAGAGATGATGGATAGAAAATCAGGGTTTTCTCTAGCTTTCATGCAATAAAGGGAGTTCATCATACTATTAGGCATCTGCTGCGGAGGCGAGCAGTGTGGAAAAGAAAGAGCAGCCTGAAGTGGAAGAAGACACGTGTAATCTAAAAATAAAATTGTAAGAGTTGCCACTATGTATACATAGTTACAGTCACAAATAATTAAGGTCCTGGATGATAGATTTTGGAAAGTAGGAAGAAAATATTCAAATGGGAGGGGAAACAAGGCAGACAGGAGGAGTAAGGAAAGAAAGAGAAAAGAAAAGGAAACAGAATGGAAGGGAAGAAAATAAAAGCAAAGCTTTCATAATGAGAAGGGTCAGAGGGCATGAAGGGGGCAAAGGAAATGAGAAAGGAAGAATCAGGATATATTATATACAGCTGAACACTGCCTGTGATGAATGTGAACATTGTGTATATCAGAAGTGTCCTAATAAAATTAATTTTAACATTCAACAAAATTACAGATAAGATCGAAGTAAGTTTTTCCATGTTTATCAAGTAAGATCTTTAGTTTAAAAATCTAACAACCATCCTCATAGCAGACATTCAGTGAATTGAAGCTGTGCTACTTATTATTTTCTATAAAATGATAATAACCTATTCTTTTTGGAAAAAAAAAAACCCTTTCATTTATTTATTTGGTACGAGTCTCCCTATGCAGCTTGGACTCAAAATGATCCTCCGCTCTCCACCTCCCTCATGCAGGGATTACAGGTGTGCCCCATAACACCTGGTTTCTGTGGTGGCCACAGTGTGCCCAGGGTTTGGGGGGCCAGCACAGCATGTGGTACTGGAAGTTGAACCTAGGTCTCTGCACTTGCCAGGGAGGCACTTGGACTGCTGAGCTATCTTCCCAGCCCCTAACCTATTCTGTTTTAGAAGAAAAATATTTAGATATGCGTCATTCATCAGGAACACTTGGAATTTCAAGTCCCAAGAATGCAATTGAGGCTTGAAGCTACGAATAACGGCTCCTTGGGTAAAAGTAAATTGCTTCTATTTTAAAAACCCATCCCTCAGTTATACTCTAGAAATATGGAAGCATTTCTTTTTTAAAAAGACCATCTACACCCATACAATCTTTATTCCAAGAAACACGATCTGTACTCTTAAAAGTGATCTGGGGCTGGGGGTATTGCTCATTGGTAGGGTGCATCCTTAACATGTATGATGTTTTGGGAGTGAGGTCCAGAACCACAAAATAGTTGGCTAAATAAGTAAACAAACAAATAAAGCTTATTCAGAAAAATGTTAAGTTGATTTCACATTTAATCCAAGTAGTTTATGGCAAGGACCGGTGGCTGTTGTCACTGTGCTACAAGTGAAAGGCTAGGAGAGACAACAAGAGTGGGGGCACAGGGTCAGAGTCAGAGGCCCAGGGAAGTGCTGAATGGAGGAGAACTGGAGCACCCAACGCCTCCAAAGTTTCCAAGGATTGAAATCCTATTTTGGACCTGAAAAATGAGTATTGCTTCTAAAATACAAAAAAATAAGATCAAAATGTGAAAACATACAATCGCATGTATGAAAATGAAGCATACATTGACTTTTATATTCAATTTATTAATAGGAAGAATTTCATTGCTTTTAAAAGTAAACTGTTTGCTAGATTCTCTCCCTTCACAAAGATTACCAGGATTTCATATTCTTGTTGAAAATTATAGACAATGTTAAAGGAAAGGAGTCGGACTTAGTAACTTGAAAGGCAAAACCATAATCATCTTTTCTAAATACTTTCAGTAGAAATTATGTTAAGTAGATTATAGTTTATTTCAACACATTGGTATTATACGAGCTAGATCCTTTAAAAATAAGACTGGAAAGATTTTTGTTTTTGCAGAACTGGGGATTGAACTCAGTCCCTTGCGCTTGCAGGGAAGAGCTTATTCTACTGAGCCATCTCCCCGGCCCCCAAGACTGGAAAGATTTTTAAATGACTATTTGAGGAGCTTTTCGTGTAGTGCAGTGAGGCCAGAAAGCTACCTGGTAGTACTACATCTCAAAGTGCACAAACATGTTTCAGGGGGCACTTTTTTTGATAAAGCCTCAGTTCTTCCCATTTGAAATGTGTCTTTCTATTCTATCCCTTTGGTGTCACTTTTTCCACATTATTATCTAATTATTTTCTAAATAATAATCATAAATTTTCATTTTCTAAATTTCAGCTATCCTGATAAGCTTTTCACAAAACTATCATGTAGATGAAAGAAAAGTTACACCTTAGTTTTTTCATTCAGGAGATGAGATACAATTTTTTTTAACCGAAGATAAATTTTAGGACACAGGAATCATACTAAATAAAACTTGTTCCATAAAAAGCCTGAGGCAAGATGTTGCTAGACAAAGATAAGTTCTCCAGCCTTAACTGCTAGATTATAGATGGCACTCAGTTTTATATACCCAGAACTTTTGGGCACTTGTATCCACTAATGCTGAAAGTACACTCCAAAACTATGTTACCCTCATGGGATGGTTATTATCTTTCCTTATACAGGTTCACTGTATTTTCTAACAATGAAAGTAAGACTCTTCCCTCCACATCTGTTAAAAGTCTTAACCCCACTGGCACATAGACAGCTTTATTTCGGACTGAATTAGTTACCGCATGCCCCAAGATTTCATTACGAGGCAGATGGGAAAAATTAATATGGGGCCAAAACTGTGATTTTTATTTCTTCTATAATATTTTCACATAAATTTAAAACTGAATGAATAAAAAATGAAAAAAATAAAGTAAATTTTAAAAACCACCAAACCAGAATGTCTTGGATCCAAGTTGAAAAAGCATAGACTAAAACTATAGAAGATGTTGGTGAGATAATTCCCGGTACACCACCGTCTAAACAGTGGTAATGAAGAGCCCTCTGCAAGTCATAAAAAGACTGCATTTAATGGAGTCAATTTTTCATTTTATCAAAATATACCTCACTCTATGGTGTTGCTTATATAAATATTTTAATACGCTAGGAGGCAACTAATTCATGATTTTCAATGAATACAATTCACATATCCCCATGAAAGCTCTTAAATTCAAAATTTAGCATCAAGAGCCTGAAAGTTGATGGTAGCCTGAAGCCTATTTGATTGCTTACAATAGTTATTTCATCCCTCTCCTTCTTATATTCCACATACTATTTGCTTCAAAACAACAACTCTTATGAGAGTCTAGTAAAACAAATCAAGAAAAATAACTTTTAAAAATAAAGTACAGTGAAAAACTAGTCACAAACATAGTTTATGAAATTATGATAATATTTCATGAGCATACATTTAGTATATCTATTGCTAAAATGTATATGTTAAAAT